ATTCTACCTGCCATTCCAGCACATTTAATATGGGCAAGCCCATAACAAAGCCAGCATGAAACGTAGCGATCTGACTAGCCTTTAATGTTACAATTGGGGAAGTTCCAAGACATAATAAACAACAAGAATGAAGATCAAATAAAATAGTAAGTGAAACAAAATCTAATAGATATATAATAAATTAGTGTGTTAATAAAATATTAATAATAATAAATTTGATTAAGAACAAACGCAAAAATAATCGCAAATGTTTTATCAAAGTTCAAAGCCAAGACAGTTGAAAAAGCAATATAGCGTGCATTTTTAGATGCACTGGAACAAATAAAAAGCTATACGCAACACAGCTGTGAATAAAGAAGTAAATGAGACAAATAAAGAGAAAATAGAATAAAATAAAACAAAATGAAACAAAAAGCTGACTCGGCAAAAATTTTTTGATAATGCACAAAACATTTAATACTTAGCCTGCAACTCAAGAGTCAAATCAGTAAACATTGCATTAAATCACTAAAAAATAATCAATTAAAATTGAAGAATTTTGTAAAGTAAAACACAAAAGTTCACAGCAAAAAAATTATAGCTTTACAGCTTGAAGTGTTACCACCTGAGACTATGTTAATGGTTTTATTTGCGGGTTTATTGACTCGATTTATTTGAATTGAATATCATTTTAAGTTCGGTAGTACGGTCGGTGGGCAGGAAACAAAATTTTACGAACGGTCTGGTTAGCGTCCCGCATTGCGTGCAGAGATCTGCTATTCGGATATGACCGTCGGGCCCGCAATGAAGTTTTTCTCCGCGGCCAAGCCGCCATTCTGTGGGGGGGAGACAACCGTCGTGGATTAGGACGCAATCTCTAAGCTTTGGCGCCTTTTCTGGAGTTTTCCTTTGCTACCTCTTGTGGAGATCCTTTAAATATTCTTCTTTCCATCGGCGGCTGAAGTCATGATGGAGAATTTTGATTCTTTCCCATCGATTTAATAAGGATAGCGACTCTACGCCTGTCTCAGGTATGGCCAGAATTGGTGTTCCTTTGAGAAAATGCTCTGTAGTTAGGGCTGTAAAATCTGAGGGATCTTGGGAGAGTGTCGTTAGTGGCCGTGAATTAAGTACGAATTCAATGCGAATTAGTAATGTTGTAAATTCTTCATAATTAAATTTCTAGTTTCCAGCTACTTTTTTAAAGTGGGATTTGAAGCTTTTTACAGCTGATTCCCATAAAGCACCCATATGAGGAGCGTTTGGAGGGATAAATTGCCAATTAATGCCTTGGGCGCGTACTTTTGTCCGACGAAGCGAGCAAATGCCGCAAGGAAAGCTTCCTTTGTCAGATTAGTACAAAGCTCAAGGAGTACTGCTTTTGTCGTAAAACAGACAAAAACAGGCGCATAACCTTTTATCAGAGTGGGAGATCTTAACATGGACCCCTTTATCTGAAAAGGCCCAGCAAAATCGACCCCTGTGATGGGGAAAGGCAGAGCGAAGTTGCAGCGTTCAGGTGGAAGTGCTGCCATAATCTGTGTTTGCATATTTTGCAAGAATCAGGAGATCCTGTTAACCATCGGGTGGTGGTGACAAGGTGTAGGGATCTTGTACCTAGATCAGCAGGATTGTCAGCACTGGCTACATGTCGCCAAGTGGCTGATCCTATTAGGTCAAGTATTTGAGACTTTCGATTGGAAATATACGTCTTCCATGCATGTGATGATTTTTCGAACCATGCTAGAACAATTTCGGGATCGGACCACAGATACAATTTGTATTTTACCATGTTTAAAAGCATTCGAACCATGGATACTAGTTTGGCTAGTAGTAGCGCTCCACAAAGTTCAAGTCGTGGTAGACTTATTGTTTTTAAGGGAGTCACTTTTGCCTTTGCTATTAGTAAGTGGCATGTGGTCGCAGTGTCGCTTTGTGTGCGAACGTATAAAGTGACGCCATATGCTTCTTCAGAGGCGTCACAAAAGCCGTGTAGTTCGACTTTGTGGTCTGGGGCATGGTTTACCCATCTTAAGACTTGTATCTGTGAGATAATATTTAGATTGTTTGCGAACTGGGACCACTTTTCTAAACGAAGTGATTTTACTTGTTCGTCCCAGTCGGTTCCATCTAGCCATAGTTCTTGTATTAGGATTTTGGCTTGTATCATAATTGGCGAAAGCCATCCTGCGGGGTTAAAAAGTTTTGCCACAGAGCATAGAATGTCGCTTTGTTATGGCGGATAATGCAGATATTGACTCTGTAGTGTATGAAAACTGGTCAGATATCGCATTCCACTGGATTCCCAGAGTTTTTGTTGTACTTTCATTTTCAAATGTAAGGAAATTAGTGTCTAACAAATTTTCATTTGGTATATTTTTTAAAATATTAAACTCTGTGGTTTTGAGGGCTTTTACCACTTGTGATAGCGACTTGTATGCTTGTGGAAGACTGTGACTTCCAGACAAGATATGGTCTACATACGTTTGTGTTTTTAACACCTCGGTTGCCAGAGTGTGAGTGTTCGAATGGCTAGATATGGTGCACAGTTGACGCCAAACGTCACGTAGGGAACTATTGGGGGATTTTCGGAAAATAATTCGCTGAAAATCTTGATCGTCTTTATGTACGACTATTTGTCTATACATTTTTTCGACGTCTCCGTTGAATACGTATTTGAATATACGCCAATTTAAAATGAGGAGCATTAAATCTGGTTGGAGCGTGAGTCCCGTAAATAAGATATAATTTAGGGAACTCCCCGAGCTAGTGGATCTTGATTCATTAAAGACAACTCTTACTTTAGTTGATTTTTTGTCTGGCTTTACCACTGCATGATGCAGCAAGTAAAATAATTAGTATTTGCCGTTGATGATTTTTTCGCATGGGCTTACTTCCTCCATGTGGTCTAAATGGAAGTATTCTTCCAACACACAATCATATTCTGGTTTGAGTTCGCCTTTTTTTAAGTAGGGTTTTTTTCCATACTTAAAAACTGTTGTATTGCAGAGGTTCGACGTGACCTAAGGCGAGTGTGTTGGGAAATTGTTGTTTTAGTGGTAGTCGTACGACGTACCGAACATTTTCTGATCTAGTAGTTGTGGCTTTGTAAAAGTCTTTACAATACTGATATTCTGGGGTTGTAATTGAAATGGGGGGAGTCCTTCTAACTCCCAAAATTTTCTCAATTGTGAATTGAGGTATTCGTTTGAGATTTCCTCAACTTGAGTGGTTATGGTGGTAAATGGTTCCGCAACTTGAACTACTCTCCGCCCATTTCTGTAATTTCAAAGTGGCTTGTTTTGTTGGCAGTTGTAGCTAATTTTGTGCCCTAGATGCTATGAACGATCGTTGTGATCCTTGGCCTATTAAGGCCCTAAGTTTAAACAGTTCTCCTCGGTGTTCGATGGAGACGACTGCTCTGGGTAGTAGTACCCTACTTTGGTTTTCGCTGTGTAGCGTTTGAGTTTTTCATGTCTTTAAGCAGCATGGTGCTTCTTGGCAATTTTCCGGATTTCGCACTTCGGAATTTGCTGCTGCAACTAAACCCGTGGCTCTTTTCATATTTGCGCTGTTTGGGAGTGAACTGGAAAAATTAATAGTATGAGGCGTATAATGGTATCGTTTATGACAGTAAACGCAATTGAACTTGCTTTGCTAATCTTTGAGTGAATGCGCATGTGACATATAGTTTGTACAAAGTCTTTTTGTTCTTATAAAATTGTTTCGATCGGTAATATTATTTTTTTGAATTTCTCGCAAGATTTGAGCATATGCCCTCCTGTTCGAATGTGAACGTTTGTTTTTTGAAGAAACTTATATTTAAATTGTTGTTGCTACTGGCTTGGGGACTGTGGAAGCTTCTATTTAGGTTGTGTTGAACGCTTTTCGTTCTGACTATTTTTCGTGGGGCATTTTCTTCGTGATGAGAGCGATTGCTCCCACACAAGTAATTATTTTTCTGGTAATGCGGCAGGGCGTCTGTTTACCAGTATAGGGTCCCAACTGTCTGTGGGAATATTTTGTGTCGATAAAACCGACAAACAATTTGAATCAGTTGAAGTTTGATAAATTCTTCACCTTTTTCCTTTTGAATTTTTGGCAAGTTCATTAATATCGATATTTGTTTATCGACCAATACTCTTTCGTTTTCGTATATTGATTTAAGAGCTTCCCAAGCCAAATTGAAATTATCGTCATTTAGTGCGAACGGTTGTACTATTACGCCTGCTTGAGCTTTTGTTATGTATCGGAGGTGATACAATTATTGTGCATTTGATAATTTTGGATGGTTTATGTAAACGGCTGTAAACATGTCTCGGAAAGACGGCCATTGTTCATAACCACCATTAAAAATTTCCGTGGCACATGCGGGCACCTTGATATGGATTCCTGAACTTGCCCATTGAATTTTTACTTGTGGCAACTCTACTCTCGGATGTGGAGTAGGTGGAATTGCTTTAGTTAGGTTTAGTTGATCAGAAATCATTGCTTTAGTTTCTTCAAACTGGTCGAAGCAGGTTTGGTATTTGGCGTAAGCCGAGGGTTTGAAATTTACTGGGAGATCTGAGTCGTCAGATTCTACGATGGCGTCATATGCAGCTTGGAGACGTGTCTAAAAATTATCAAGATTGTCTTTTATGATTTCTAATACCGATTCAGAATTGTCTTGAATCAGCGAAGATTAAAATCGAGTACAGTAATGTTTTTGACTGTCACTCTCTGCAATGAATTTGGTATATGAAATGTTTTTTATCTTTTTTTGTTTAGTAGAACCTTGCTTTGAGCGTGTAGCTTCTGCAGGTGTACATGGACTCTTTTCGTTGGAAATCATTTTGGGTACTTTTAGATATTGGGTTTAGATTCCTTAGAATCTGCGTTCATTTAAAAAGATGAGTGAAATTAGATATTGTTTTTCTCTCAGTGTACACTGATAATATTAGATAAAACAAAAGATTACCTTTTAGATAAATAGGATTTTATTTCGAACTTCGTCACTAACAAACGCGTATTTCGTTGTTTTTTTATGGTTGAGGGTTGTAAGACTATGTCCCGGCCCCCCTAGGCGAATGTTCAGCCTAGCAGTCGTTGTAACTGTTGCAACGTTGCCACATCGTTGCTGAGTCCGGACGTGCGCCGATAGTTCGGCCTACTCCTAGTAGGTGCGATGTTTTGCTGACGCCATGGACGGTAGTCAGATCGGGATGCCGTTCTTCGGCGACGTGGCACGCGATTGGTTTGCTGCGGTCGGTTTGGGCAACGGATTCGTGTGGCAGGCTGCCGACTGACCTCTCGCCTCGATGTACGGTGAAGCAACGTGTGATGCTGCCTGCCACACATTTGGCACAAAGCTCCGGAGTCGCATTCCTGAGTCGTGTGGGTATGTGCCAGACAATTGTGACAATGCCTATGCGCCTGGGCAGCTTGCTGGCATTGTGTGGCGTCATGCCTTTGAAGAGACCACAGTGCTGCAGTTTGTGTGGATGTCGACAAAGGGGGCATCGGATGGGATAAGGCGCCTCTGTAGGAGACGGAACGGATGCAGATTCTCGTGTACCGCTACGAGCGGTGGTGGACGGTGCGGTTGCGGCTGATGTTCGAGGCGCCGCTGTTGGAGTAACCCCAAATCGAGGCACAGTGATGTCCGATCGCATTGTTGGCGTTGGGGTAGAATGCATCTCTGTATCCATATCTACCTGTATGGAGAAAAGGGCATGTTTAGTTACGATTCAGTGGTATAGAGTATGGATATCTTTCTATATGTGACCAACTTTAATTGGTTTGGTGATCGTATTAGTCTACCCATTATTTTATTTGTATATGATTGTAATTTGTCATATTATATTTGCGGTTTTTTATTTCTGTTTTCGGTTATTTAGACGGATATTTCGATTTTTGTTTGTAGGTATTATTGAACAGATGGTTTACTACTTGCGTTTTCGCTATTATTTGAGGTTGGCAGGAAGCATAGTTTAACGAGCGGTCTGGTTAGCGTTCCGTTTTGAGTACGGAGGTCAACTACTCTTATATGACCGTCGGAATCATGATGTAGCTTCTCTATGCAACCAAGCCGCCATTCTGTGGAGGGAAGACAATCGTCATGGATTAAGACAAAATTTCCAAGCTTTGGAGCTTTTTCGGGAGTTTTCCAGCGGTACCTTTTATGAAGGTCCTTTATATACTCCTCGATCCATCGGCGCCTGAAATGATGAAGGAGAATTTTAATTCTTTCCCATCTATTTGGTAAGGATAGTGACTCCACGCCTGGCTCAGGTATGGCCAGAATGGGTGCTCCTTTTAGAAAGTGGAGTTAGGGCTGTGAGATCTGAAGGATCTTGCGAGAGTGTCGTTAGTGGCCGTGAATTGAGAACGGCTTAAATGCGAATTAATAATGTTGTAAATTCTTCATAATTAAGTTTGTAGTGTCCAGCTACTTTTTTGAAGTGGGATTTAAAGCTTTTTACAGCTGATTCCCATAAAGCACCCATATGAGGAGCGCTTGGAGGGATAAACTGCCAGTTAATGCCTTGGGGAGCGTACTTTTGTACAATTTCAGGTGAAACTTGTTTGACAAAATTCACGAACTGTTTTTCTGTGGCTCTTTGAGCTCCTAGCGAGCAAATGCCGCGAGAAAAGCCTCCTTTGTCAGATTCGTACATAGCTCGAGGTGCACTGCTTTTGTCGTGAAACAGACAAAGACAGCCACATAGCCTTTCATGAGGGTGGGAGACCTTAACATGGATTCCTTTATCTGAAAAGGCCCAGCAAAGTCGACACCTGTAATGGTGAAAGGCAGAGCGAAGTTACAGCGTTCCGGTGGAAGTCCTGCCATAATCTGCGTTCGCATCTTCTGCTTATGCATAGTGCAGATCTTGCACATGAAAATGCATTTTTTTAATTTGGGCTTGAGTCGGGGAATATAAAACTCTTGACGGTCGATTTGTTGCATGAGGCGATGTTCTGCGTGTAGCAATAGCACGTGGACATAGTTAAGGTATAAGGTGGCGAGTTGCGATTTCTCTGAGATAACTATGGGATGACGTTCGTTATACGTCAGGCTTGAATTGGCAAGCCGTCCATTCGCACGGAGTACTCCTTTCGTGTCAATGAATGGATTTAGGACTAAGTGTGAGCTCTTTTTATCTATCGGCTTCGATTCTCTTTGTGATGATATTTCTCGGCTGAAGTAACGCGCTTGCGTAGATGCGATAAGAGCGACCTTTGCTTTTTGTAAGTCTAGGTGCGTCACTGTATCGCATTGGGAGTGTAATGAAGACACTCCCTTAAGTTTAATTTTGAGTCGCTCTATGAACTTGAGCATGTAAGCGATTACCCTGAGTGCTCGGGGATACGAGGAAAATCGCTCAAGGATATCATTATCCTGCAATGTTGCGTGAAAGAAGTCGATTTTTCGACTTTCTGGGGCAATTATACTGCGCATTGGCGATTGTGGACAAGAATCAGGAGATTCTGTTAACCATCGGGGGCCATTCCACCAGAGGGTGGTGGTGACAAGGTGCAGGGGTTTGCACCCTCTTGTACCTAGATCAGCAGGATTGTCAGCACTGGCTACATGTCGTAAGTGGCTGATCCTATAGGTCAAATTTGAGGCTTCGGTTGAAATATACGTCTTCCATGCATGTGGTGTTTCTAACCAGGCTAAGACAATTTCGGGATCGGACCAAGATATAATTTATATTTCCAGTATTTAAATGCTTTGTACTGGACACAGTTTGGCTAGTAGTAGCGCTCCACATAATTCAAGTCGTGGCAGACTTATTGTTTTAAAGGAGCCACTTTTGCTTTTGCTACTAGTAAGTGGCATGTGGTCGCAGTGTCGTTTTGGTGCGAACATGTATAGTTGCGCAATATGCCTTTTCAGAAGCGTCACAGAAGCCGTGTAGTTCAACTTTGTGCTCTGGGGCATAATTTCCCATCTGGATTTGATCTGTGAGATATCATTTAGAGTGCTCTACAACTGGGACCACTTTCTAAACAAAGTGGTTTACTTTTCGTCCCAGTCGGTTCCATCTAACCATTATCTTCTATTAGGATTTTGGCTTGTATCATAACTGGCAAAGCCATCCTGCGGGTCGAAAAGTTTCGCCACAGAGGATCGAATTTGTCGTTTGTTATGGCGGATAACACAGATTTGACTCTGTCGTGTATGAAAACTGGTCAGATATCGCATTCCATTGGATCCCCAGAGTTTTGTTGTACTTTCTTTTCGAATTTAAGGAAATTATTATCTAACAAATTTTCATGTGGTATATTTTTAAAATATTGGGTGGTTCGCCGTGATCTTTTCAACGGAAACCCTGAGGTTTTGAGGGCTTTACCATTGATAGTGACTCGTAGCTTGTGGAAGTGTGACTTCCAGACAAGATATCGTCTACATATGTTTGTGTTTTAACACTTTGGTTGCCATAGGAAATTCTGACTGTGTTTTCTGCCAGTTCGTGAAGTGTTCAGATGGCTAAATATGACACAGTTGATGCCGAAGGTAACTGTTTTAGTTTTAGTCGCGTAGTGGACTATTGGAGATTTTCGGAAAATAATTCGCTGAAAATCTTGATCGTCTTTATGTACGATATTTGTCTATACATTTTCCGACGTCTCCGTTAAATACGTATTTGAATATACGCCAATTTAATATGATGAGCATTAAATCTGGTTGGGCAGGGTCCCGTAAATAGAATATCATTTGAAATTCCCGAGCTAGTGATCTTGATGCAAAAGACAACTCTTACTTTAGTTGTTTTGTCTGGCTTAACTACACATGGTGCGGCAAGTAAAATGAGTAGTATTTGCCGTTGATGATTTTTCGCTGGGCTCATGTGGTCTAAATGGAGGTATTCTTCCAACACACCATCATATTCTGGTTTGAGTTCGCCTTTTAAGTAGGTTTTTCCATACTTTGAAACTGCTGTATTGCAGGGTGCGAGATGACCTAAGGCGAATTGTTGGAAATTGTTGTTTTAGTGGTAGTCGTACGACGTCGACCATTATCTGATCTGTTGTTGTGGCTTGTAAAGTCTTCCAATACTGATATTCTGGGGTTGTAATTGAAATGGGGAGTTCTTTAACTCCCAAAATTCTTTAATTGTGAATTGAGGTATTCGTTTGAGATTTCTCAACTTGTCATAGTGGTAACTGGTTCCGTAACTAGCCCACTTAGGATCCAACCGAAAGGTATTTTGTGCCAGGGTTGAAATTTTCTCAATCCTTCGAGTATTATCTGTGGTATGAGATCGCTGCCTAATGAAGATCTATTTGAGCAGGGTGGACTACTCTCTTCCGTGATTTCAAATGTGTGTCTAGTTGGTGTGTAGCAGGCCTAGACGTTATGAAGATCGTTGTGATCGTTGGTCTATTAAGCCTAAGTTTAAACAGTTCTCCTCGGTGTTCGATGGAGACGACTGCTGTAGGTAAGAGTACTCTCTGATTTTCGCTGTGTAGCGTTTGGGTTTTATTGCCTTTGAGCAGCATGGTGCTTCTTGGCGATTTTCGGGATTTAGCACTTCGGGATTTGTGTGCAACTAAACCCGTGGCTCTTTCATTTGCGCTGTTTGGGGTGATCTGGAAAATTGTTATAAGGAAGCATAGAATGATGTCGTTTATGACAATGAACGCAATTAAATTTGCTCGCATTCTTAGTGTATGCGCATGTGACAAGCAGTTTGTACAAAGTCTTTTGTTTTACAAAATTGTTTCGGTCGATAATATTCAATTTTTGAATCTCTCGCAAGATTTGAGCTTATGCCCCCTGTACATAGTTCGCATGACGTTTGTTTGTACTATTCGGATGTGAACTTTGATTTCTGAAAAGCTTTATTTAAATTGTTGTTGCTACTGGCGGGACTGTGGAAGCTTCTATGTAGTCGTTTAAACGGTTTCGTTCTGACCATTTTTATCACCCTTTCTGCGATTTCGTATTGGGTTATTAAATCTTTATCTGTTGCCACGTTGGGTTTTTCGAGATGAGCGATTCCTACAAAGTAACGATTTTCTGGTAAAGCTGCGGTGCATATATTTACCAGTTTTGGGTCAATGTCTGTGAATATTTTGTGTCGATTGACCGACAAGCATGAAACAGTGGATTAGTTTATAAACTCTTCCGTTTCCTTTTGAATCTTAGGCAAGTTCATTAGTATCCGTTGCTTATCGACCAATATTCTCTCATTTCATACATATTTATGGCTTAAGCCAAATTGAAATTATCGTCATTTATGCGAACTGTTTTACTATTACGCCTGCTTGACCTTTTGTTTTGTTTCGAAGGTGATACATATTTGTGCGTTTGATAATTTTGATGGTTCATGTAAACGGTAGCATGTCCCGGAAGGACGGCCATTGTTCATAACCACCATGAAATATTTCTGTGTCACATGCGGGCACCTTGAGATGGATGCCTGAACTTGACTCTAGACTTTGTACGGCAGCTCTACTCGCTGATGTGGGTATGTGCAATTGCTTTATTAGCTTCAGCTGATCGGAAATCATTGCTTTAGTGTCTTCGAACTGGTCTAAGCAGTTTTCATATTTGGCATAGCCGAGGACTTGAAATTTTCTGGTAGATCTGATTCGTCAGATTCTACTATGGCGTCATATGAAGCAGGCATATCAAAATTGTCGAGATTTTCTTTTGATATCTAATGCCGATTCAGAATTATCTTGAATCAGAGATGAAAATCAG